ATTTGTGACGCCATCCCGCTGGCTAGGCGGGCAGGTCAGTTACCGTTCCACTTTAGCCGGGTTGGCCCTTGGGGATCAGATACGTAATCGTCACCCTGGTGCCCACGGGAAGCCTGTCCAGCTTGGTAAAACCTGCCAGAGCATAAAGCTCCGCTGGCATAGCCCTCCCGATCCGTTGCCACTCCTGCACTGCGTTGAAGTAGTGGAATCGGATTTTGCAGGAGACTAGGCCAAATATCCATTAAAAAACCGTGAGTTAGGCAAACTGTCTGTTAGGCAAACTGTCCGGTACGCAAAATGTCTTCAGGCAGATTGACGGGGTTACAGTTCTATTACTCCTCACAACTTGCCTAACGGATAGTTTGTCCAACGGACAGCGTTCCAATTTAAGGAACATGTGTCACATTTTATAAATCGCTCTTACTCGAGAAAGATTATCTGAAAGTGGCTCCCAGATCCACTGTACTTTAAAAAGACTGAGGTTCTAAATTTTCTGATCATGGTCAAGACTTCTTTTCGATCCTGCCTATATGGATTAAGGGACTAAAGATAGTTGTCTCTACCACCTAGCATGTGAATACTGTAGCAAAATGCACTATGAAAAAGTGCAAATGGGTGACACGCATTTTGATTTTCTGTGGGACATTCAGAAGAAAGGGGANACTATGAAAAAGTGCAAATGGGTGACACGCATTTTGATTTTCTGTGGGACATTCAGAAGAAAGGGGAATGAGTTGTTCGTCTTAATTGTCCCAACTGAATTTCGTTATTCCTCACTGACAATGTTTAATAATGAATTATCATCCACCTGGAGATGATTTCAGAACTCCACCAACAACAATATCAACTACTGCAACTACTACAACTCCAACCCCGTGAGTTTCACCTTTTTATGAAAGTGCTGATCATGAACTCACAGGGAAACCATGATTATTCGACAGGACACTGTTCGATTCCGAGAAATTTCTGAGATGTCATTGTCTTTGATACACGATCTAGTTCAGCAGCAGCTGATCGGTTTCTTGCTCATTGCCTTAATATCATTGCTAATTTCCCAATCTTATGTTTGCTGTCTCGAGTGACATCTTTTTTAACTGAATTCATTGTTACAGAGTTGAGAATATCGTACCGCCAGGTTCGCGTGTCACTTGTACGCCAGATATAACCCACGATACACCTGGAATGCTGTGTTTATCAAGAGGATGTATATATGATCCCAAAGCCACAGTAATGTTTTATTTTGTTTCGAATGGCCCTCAGCTTTGACCCATAACTGCAATTCATATATTGAAAGCAAGCATTGGAGCAGTGAATAGAGTTGATCATCGAACTGATATGCTTATTTGCGTTACGAATATCTGAGGCAGTCAAGGATAATGAAAATTATTTTATAGTTTCCGACACCGTCCTGTTATTTCCCATGCAAAAGCGGATATGTGGCCACATCAGTAACACGGAACAATGGAACGATTGTGGTAAAACTCGAGGAGTATAAGAAGTTCAAGAATCCATTCGGAAACAACTACCCACAACTCACTCTTACAGCTAAATCCGTTCAAAAAACCACGATGAACATTCGCATTGCACCCAAAGAGAAAAGGTGATTTGGCTTTCGGTTTCCCTACAAACATCAGCGTTAGTGGGAAAAAAGTTCAAAGCATCAATTTTGGCAGATATGAACCGAATTTGGACATGCCGAGGGAATCCGTGGAAACTGGTGAGAGCTTCATCGTGGAAACGTCGAATGCGACTTCGGTGTTTTCATTTAAAGTAATTCGAACGTCAACAAAAGAAGTGATATGGGATACATCGATTGGTAATTGATGTTGTTCATTTCGAAGCATTCAATTTCTCCTCTCCATTTCAATTGCACCACCGTTATATGGTGACACTGTCATTTTTTTAAGATCGCTCGAGCGCTTTCACGCTCCTGTTTACTCTGACATCTGCACGTTGAGAAAAAGCATATCTTCTGATAATATCCATACAGAGTCTCAACTGCCAAAAATTCCGAAACGCAAAACTCTCTGGTATACCATAAAAATAAGTGAATGAATTACGACCTGCTGGTTGCATTGTTCAGGTGGTCTGATGTTCGCTGATCAATACATCCAAATCGCTGCTTACCTTGACAGCTCAAATATTTATGGTCTTGGTGAAAGTTACGATGTGAGACTACGAGTAAGTGATAAGCGCCTCCTTAATGCTATGATCGGATGCAGGCTAGCAGGATGCCTCAATCAGTTAAAATAATTCATTTCAATATGGAAAAGCAATCAATTTGTTTACAGCATATTCTGCAAGGTTATCAAACATGGGCAATGTTCGCAAGAGATGAAAGAATTCCGAAATGGGGACCTTTCATTACATATGGTAAAAAGAACCTTTACGGTGCGTATCCATTCTATATGGCAATTGAAAGAGATGGTAAAACGCACGGTGTACTCTTTTTGAATAGTAACGCTCAGGTGAGCATGAATTTTCGAATTATTCCGCACATTGTTCTTGTTCCGTGATCTTCTCATTACATCAGTTATATCGAGCATTCGAAAAGGTGTTTTAAGGAAGTGACGCTCGGTCCTCACCCGCAAATCATCTATCGCACAATTGGCGGAATTCTTGATGTGTATTTCTTCCCGGGTCCGAAGCCGGAAGACGTCATTCGACAATACCTCGCTTACGTCGGACGTCCAGTACTTCCACCATATTGGGCTCTTGGACAGCAGGTAATCCTCTCAAATTATTCAGTACCGGATGAATGACAGTGCAGGTATAAAGCTGTTATCAGGAAGATGTTAGAAACTTCACTTAATGCACTGCAAACAGTATCAAGAATCTGTTTTGTCGTCAAGGCATCAGTATTTATGATAAATTCAGGTGCTTCCTAGTGTATGATGAACCAAAACAAAGAACAACCACCAGTAATTATCTCCATTTCTTTCTAATTATCAGATTAATTCACAATCCCTCGTTTATGCTCATCAATTCCACCAATAATTCCAGATCAGTCGTCCTGGTTTGTCTCTAGAAGAGCTGAGCAGTTTTGTTCAGGATAACAAGTATCAAAGCGTGGTTCATATTAACATCGATTACATGAAGGATTATCAGGAATTCACTCTGGCACAGGTGAACATTAACTGTTGCGCGATCGGATAATTTCATGTAATTATTGGTCCTGCCTTTCAAAAATTTCAGTCGTGATGTGAGGAGTCCGAAACTTTCTCGACTGACAATAGAGCTTTATAGCACTATTGCCATTTTCAGTCGTGGCAAAATCTCTCCAATTTCATCGAGCAGTTGCATCGAAAAGACATTCATGCAGTTATTGAAGTTGGTCCTGTCCTTGCGGTTACAGGAGAAGCGTTCCTTAGAGCGAGAAATGCGGTAAGTTGATGCAATTCCAATTCAGCGATACATTCATATTCAGCCATGTAAAGGGATTGGGTCGGTTTTATGCGTCAGTGTACAAAAATAAAGGAATATATAAGGATGGAATGAGTCGGCTTCCGTTAAAGAAATTCCAATCGCAATTCTGCGTTATTCTGAGCGCATTGAATTTCTTTTGGTTCATTTTCAAAAGCTCCACCTTCATATGCAAGATTCAGAGAGCGGATTTCTTCGAATGGCAAGATCCGAAGGATGTTCCAGCATCCGTTCAAAATCTGTACAATTCAACCAAGAACACAAAGGTATGCAAACGGCAATCCTTCCGGGATCTGATGAGTTTCATTCAAGATGATTCTTGCAAACGTTTTGGATGTTGGATTTCCAACAGATTATAATTGAAGTAAACATCATAACTGAGGCGTACTTCAGATAATGCTTGGCGTTTCATGGCCGAATGTGCACGTTGCGTTTCCGAACTATGATTCGACGGAGACGATGCGTTGGTGGTCTCGGGAAATTCAGCGCTTCCAGGAACAGGTACGTTTATTCAACATTTTCTGCATTAACGTCATATTTGCAATTGTCACTGTTGAGGTTAGAATACTCGCAGTATGATTATGTTG